GTTATTCCCCTAATCCTGGAGTTAATTTATAGTCACTGCAGTGCCCCTTGAATGGATCGGCCGGTAGGCCTGCACGACTTTTACCTCGTGTGAAAATGCCATTTGTTCAGTTTTTTTACTTTCAAGCGGTTAAATTATGATGTTGTGGATTCTTGAATTTGTCATTTTAAAATATTTTTGCCAGCTGCGGCTTTACATTGAGAAGTCATGAAGATGGGTTTCAGGCATGTTGATTTCCTTTAGTCTTTGCATCTGACAGGATTTGACGTCTCATGCAGAATTTTAGCATTTTCTTTGACGTCTTTAAAAACAATCTAAGAATATCTTATTTTTAGCGTAAAATCGTAGGAAAAAGAAGAATATTTTGCCTGGGCTGGAAAAACAACACTCTAATAGAAAAGGTTGTAATTTAATTCAAATTGCTCCATTACCAGTTTGGCAAAAATCCCCCACGTAGAGTTGTAATTACCCATGAAAAGCCCTGAGGCAGTTTACAAAATTTACAACTCTACTGAGGGCCACCTATCTTTCAAATCCATTCTCAGCTGCATTTCGTTAATATTTAATAAATGGACGAGGCTATTTTTGTTAGGAAGAAAATATAAACTACTTAACAGAGTCTTCTCCAGCATTTAGGTACAAGAATCATTTTATGCAGAAAAAATAAAAGGCTATGCTCTCGAAAACGAGCGTAAAATGACTGAGCTGAATTCACCACATTATTAAGCATTAACCGCTCGCTTTTTTGTCGAGAGTTGGGTTGTCACACGGAATTGTTAGTTAGATAATAATGGAAATTGTTTTTTTATCCCTTTGTGTCCCGTTGCCGTAGTTTAAGGTTACACACCAAACGCACTTAAGTGATGTAGTTAAGAAGTTATTTATTTAAACACAGACAAGCAAAAGAATTGCACAGGAAGAAAAAGAGACGAAGAAAGATGAACAATTACCCTGCAGTTCTGAGAAACTACTTGTTCTTAATGGGGATATTTTCAACCCTTCCAAATGAGTGTGAAGGTACACGGACTCTGAATTCTTTTTCACATTGTTCTAAGTCGGGTATATTTTTGTCTTATATTTCTTATAATCTCAATTTGTTCGTTTTCTCTGAAAAAAGCTTTCGGCGAGGGATCCATTGGTGAATTTTTATATGTTAACTTCATGATGAATGAATTTTCCTACCTGAACATCACCAGTGTTGGACGGAATCTTATTCAAGAAGGAGACGATTGCGCCTTCGCCTGTCTAAACATCGCCTCATGTTTCTCCTACAACATGGCTACCTTCCCTGATGTCAACGGAAAATTTCTCTGTGAACTACTCCCATCGGACAAGTATAACAACTCAGAAAAATTCATCACCAGCAAGGAATTTCATCACTTTCATATTCCGGTGAGTGAAACTTCTTTTATCTTAAACTAAAATAAAAACAATCTTTTTTAAAGTTCCTCTTATAGAAGCGTTTAGTAGTTGGTCGATGGTAAAATTTTCTCGCTTATAAAACTCACTAACCCTAACCATTTACTAAATTATATGAAAAAGGTGAATTTATTAGGGCAACAAAATTACTGGTAAACGAGTAGTTTTTATTGTGGTCGACAAGGTTAAGGATCCCAACTGGCCGCAGGTAAACCAGTTAGCTTTTTACAAGCGTATCCTAGAGATGAACTCGAGAACAAATCCGCTTAGTGGTTAGAGAAGAGCAGAAGAGAGAAGATTGAACTCGGCTCTTCCGGATCACAATTCCATCGCTCTAACCGCCGCTCGGCCACTCTGCTTTGATGGCAAGAGGGAACTGAAAATTAATAGTTGCCTTGGTTATTGGAACACAAGGGAATAAAAAAGCAACAACGAATTTCATTATTCTCTTTTAGGGTAGCGAGAGAAAGATATCACATGAAATTTTTAATAGCGAGGAGAACAAACCAATCTAGGTTTTTCATCTCTTTTTGCGACACATAACTGTTGATGTCCATAATATTCGCTCGAGATGAGAATACTATATTACAATGTTAAGAGGTTTAAAGAACTGATTAAAAAAACCAAACTTTTTCGACTTCATCTCCATCTTCGTAACCGTAGATCTTAGAGAAAATCAAGTTTTATCCCATTTCTATCCCAGCCCTATTCATGGCCAACCACTCAGTGCTTTAAAATTTCACTGCAGCTTTAGTTTATTGTTTCTGGACCATTTTCTTATGGTCTTTTTAATAACGCACATTGGTGCTAAGAAAAACTGGGAAAGGCAAAAAGTCTTACAATGCTGTAAACCTGCGACATGCTTTTTCAGTATGCGCCCCCTTAATTAACTGTGGAACTCACTACCACTAAATTTGCTCAAGACACCATCTTTAACCAGTTTTAATTTAAAAAAAAACTGAAAACATATCTTTTGGCACAATTTTGAGAAAGTAGGTAAATGTTTTTGTAAAACGAATTTAATACCTGTAATGCATCATATATCGAGCCACTGTCTAGCCATGAAAATTTTATCTCAAAATATTTCGAAAACGCTTTCACGGATTTTGCTCAAACTTCACGAACTTCGAGGTAGCTATATTAGAGGAAAAGGATCTCGTGAACAGTTTTGGTAAAAAAGGCCCCAGTGCCGAAAAATACGGCTGCAAGTATAATAGCTAATGATGTCATTTCGTTGCTATGACAACTCCGACGTCATAGAAACCCTAATCATAACAAATTTATCTAATACAGCTGTGCTGATAATTTTTTCAAATCTTCGTTAATAGCAACGTAGTCTATACGCAAACTTGGGAGGTATTGACCCTGAAAAACCCTATCGAGCCACCTTAAGCTTGAACAAACATAAGCCATTTTAAGCCAATATCACCTGTCTCGGTAAAACCAACAAACAGCAAGTCCTAACAAACAAAATGTACTGTACTAAATACTGGATGTAAAAACATTTATCGTCTAAGAAAACTGTGCATGTGAATGTTAGGAAAAGGAGTATAGTTTGCTTATATTTTTTTCACTCAGAATATCTGCGACACCCATCCTTGTCTTAACAACGGAAAGTGCTATTTTAAATACACCGACAAAAGGTACGGATGTGTTTGCGCATCTGGCTACACTGGAGAAAACTGCGAGAAAGGTAAATGTGAGCCTACTTTCAATAATTCAATAGACTTGCTTACAGCTGCAGCAGAAGAACGATGATAATGCTGTAAGAAACAGACTGAGGTGTTAATCAGAAAAAACTGTTAGCTAGTGTTAGATTTGATATACGACAAACGGAGCCAGCCCGTCAAAATCGCCAGGGAATCGAACCCCGACTCATTGTTCTTGGTGTTGCGTCAATAAATAATTGATGGATGAATAAAGAATGACGACAAATGATGTTAGTAGTGGTATTATGTCATTTATGTTTCAAGCGCCTTTGCGAATCGAGTCTTATTGATGTTGTTGGGAGTGTTGCTTTGGGCGAGCTCTGTTTACTAGGATTTCACCATGGCGGTTTACCAGGAAATAAAACATTATGAAATAAAATGAAGCTTTATTAAAAGGGACAATCTTTTATGCAAGGTTTTAACTTACGCGTAGAATGAAAATGACTCATTGACTCATTGATAAATGCACTATTCCTTTGTCAATGGGCTCCCTCTGTGGAGCGTGATCCAGGAGCGAGGGACTGGTGCGAGCAGTTTCCCAAAGTTTCCTTCTACAGTAGATGACTAGATTATGATACAGATGAATAATTTTTTGTATGGTGACATACACTTTAAATAATTGTATCATTTAATTTCGTGTTTTCGTCTGTTGAGTTTGATTTAAGCTTCTCTTGAAGCGTTCTGTATGCAAACCCTATGCAAGATCACGAAACTGACAATGAGATCACAGATCAAACTGTCAAAAATCATTTTGTTGTTACAGATATCGATGAATGTGACGATGGAGTCCATGATTGCCTTCCTAGTGTGGCTTCCTGTGTGAATACATTGGGTTCGTTTAATTGCTCCTGTAACCACGGATACATAGGTGATGGAAAGACAAACTGCACAGTGAATTCATCAGGTAAAATCCTATTAAAACGTTTTTTAGTTATGTTTAAAGTACGTATCATTAAGGCAGTTACAGTAATATTTTGTACAATAGCAAAAGTAATTAATCAACTATAAACTTCAAATTTTTACTCGATATAAACACAGTTGGTAGAGGAGATATGACTGCGTGATATGTACACGGGTGGCCCAAGCGTAATATGAGAGTTTGTTTGGGAAATAAAACGCGTTAATTTTAAGCGAACTTAACAGGTGAAAGTTATCAGCATAAATATTGTTACCTGGTGTCGCTGTGTTTTATTCTACGAAGTTCCAGCGCGATTGGATCAGTATAACATCATCTGACCTGATTGTGTTTTAGTTATACTGCGGGATGTTATACAAATCAAATCGCGCTAAAACTTCGGAGAAAGAAACACAACAACACCATGTAACAATATTTATACTTTATTTATAACTTTTAACCGTTTTAGCTCATTTATTCGAAGTAAGGTTTATTTCTAGTAGAAACTCTCATATAATATTTTGATCATTTGGGTATAAACATGTTCACAATTGCGTTTACAAGAACGATCGTGACGAACTAATATTTAATGTATCTGACCACTTTCGAATAATGTGTTTAATACCCGGTTTGGAATTTATGTGCGTCTTGATAGCTATTGTTTCGGAATAATCGATTTGCACACAACAATATGGCAAAATGTGGATCCATAAATTTCTATTTGTTATTGGTTTTGGATTTGTTCCTATCTTTGATATGAAGGCTCTCGTCAATGACTCGGTGCAATGACTTTATCCCTGACTCAGTTTGAGACAGTTGTCTGTTAGTATTTGCCACGTTCTTCAAGTATGAATATAAAACACTATTGTGATAACTTACTATTCAGATTTATCGTTATTATTGTCAGAAAACAGGAAAGGGTTGTCTCAATGTTATATCACATATTGGGACTTTGGGTAATCGGCTCCTGTTATTGTTCATTAACATACTTAAAACATGTAAAATGTAGGGCTGTTGAACCGTGATATGAGGGCCTCAATGAGGTGGGGGTATTTAAGGTGAACGGTCAATATTTCAGTTTTTCTGTGCCTGGCGGTTAATAATTCTTTCCGTTTTTCAGGGGCACCCGAAGGCAATTTTCGGAAAATATCTGTCCGGAAGACGATTTGAGATCTAGAATTTTCGGAACACTTGTTGTAAAATTTCTTGCTTGCCTGCCTCTCCTAGGATTTTCGAACATCTACAAAATGGTATAATTACCCATTTTTAACGGATTTTTACCCTGAAAAAAGGCCACCTAGAATTTTCGGGAGCTTTTTCCTGGCTGAAATTTTAGAACAGGTAAGTTTTGACCCCTATAATTTTCGGATCACTAGACTTTCAGCTATATACACTGTATATAGGAAATCCGAACAGATGAAAAGTTTTTAGGGGATAAAAATATGCCTATATCTACCTTTTAAATACTAAAATACGTTCAACAATGCTACGGTTAAGTGGTTTTGAACTATATCCTCGTTGGGTGCCCCTAGTTTTTAAACAGACATCTGAAGAAAAAAAGTTTCTACCATGGGAAGCCTCTAAGGACTCTCCGGGATGGGAATAAAAAAGGCTGAAATACTGGGTCCATCAGCCACGAAACAAGACCAAGACAAGGCACAAAATTCTAACAAGCAATATTATATGGCTGAATCCGCATGCGGGAAAGATGAAGCGCATTCTGTGTTCTGATTGGCTACCCTAGCGGGCAAGATGAGCCTAACTTGCCTGCTCAGGATTTCCCGCGTTCGTCCCGCAAGAACAATTATCTTATTGACCAAGCTTGTTCGGTCAAGTTGGCTGGATATTAATCTCGTTCTCGTTTGCGTTATTATTGACTTCGAATTCGTCTCAGTTCACAAAAGTGCATAAAGAACTTGGTCAATAACGCATATGTATTGACAATCCCTACAAATTCGCAAATTGTGGGTAGAAGAATATTTATGGCTAACTTTTGTGACGAGTACAGGTTTCTAATCAATAAATTTATTATTTTAATTTATTTATTAGAATGTTATAACTTCACATCTCTGACCGATGCCGACAGGAAACCATTATTTCCTCTGGTCGAAACCGCTAAAAAAGACACGAATCTCGGTCCAGGATGGTTTCGTTTCCAAGGCGACGCAGGTAATATGATGACTACTTCATGTCCGTCTATAAGGAAGTGTAACACCCATGCAACCGGCTGGTTAAATGGTACACATCCTGACGTAGCCGATGGTATTGTCACAAGACAAGTCTGTTTTAGTTACATTGCAGGATGTTGTGAGTGGCAAACCCAAATCCAAGTGAGGAATTGCAGTGAATACATTGTATACTATCTTCACAGTACACCAAATCCTGGAGGCTCTCTCCG